TAACAAGAGAATTCTGAGTAAAACCAAAGTTACTTTCCCTAGTAACTAGTTACTTTGAAAGTAACGAGTAACTTGAAGTAACTGAGTTACTTTTGATAGAACTAACTAGTAATGTAACTAAGTTACTATTTTAAAGTAACTTACCCAACACTGATCAAAACTCTCTCTCTCTCTTTCACCAGTCACTCTAAAACTTCCCTCTCTTCCCAAACAACCAAATGCCACATGTTGCCATATCATTTTTTGATTGGTCGACATGGTACATTTTTCCACCAATAGGTGAGTCCTAGTATTATTTACTAGGACTCACCTATCATGCGACTGGAGAGCGCAAACTCCGCCATTGTCGTTTTCCATCAAACACTCATTAAAACAGCAACCTACAGGTATGTTAGCGAAATCATCCCCGACTGTCCGAGAGAGGGGCGGGGTCACACTTTGAAACAGACAGAGGCACAAGGCAGTCCAGGCGGGGAAAATTTGCTTTTACATTTTGCGACTCATTTTATTTCTCTATCTGATAAGAAAACTATTCAATCAGATTGTTATTTATTGTGAATGAAATACAGTTACATTTTCAAGCACTTTTAAGCACCACATCTGAAATTCACCATTACATTCCATGACAAATTCAGCATGTCATAATTCACCATTATGACATGCTGGTGCACGCTTGCTTGTTTAACATCTTTTTCTTTAATGACAGCTTCCCCTAACACCTTAACTCTTGCCATACAAATGTACCTGAGTACCTTGCAGGTTTCAAAATGTAACTGAGGCATCAAGCTAAAAAACAACACTTTAAAACAATCTCTATTAAATACAGAGTGCCAACACTCCAGCTCTGGAGAAAATGTTTTCAGATCATATAAATTACATTTTAACCACTGTTTGAATAATTTTTACTAACAAACATTTACAAAGAGTAGGTGATAACAACCATGCTAACAATTTATAAGAACTTTATTTATAAGAACTGGAGGATGTCTTGGGACAGAAAAATACCTTTCGAATTCTCGTTCACCTAATCAACGCCAGGCTTTACCGCGGGAGACAAAACCTGTCCTACCAAGCAAATTTTGGCCTTTAACTCACGGTTTCTCCCCCCAGCTGGACCCACAAGTTCCTGGCGCTAAGCCCAGGGGGCAGGGCTGCGCTGCTAGTCCACATTCACCTGCACCTTGACAAGTAAAAAAAAAAAAAAAATAATAGCGCAAGGGGAAAAAAAGATGAATCCAGACTAAATGCCTAAACAATTTAACAAGATAAACTCAAAGAGATTAAAACATACCCTTCATGATGCCTGTCTGCACTGTACCTGGACATCTTCATCTTTCTGTGCTCCTTCCTGGCTGAAGAATTGTAAAATATTCTTACTTTTGTAAAATGTGAAGGGTTTTTTCAAACCATTCCTTTAGGACAGCAATGTCAAACTTATTTTAGATCAGCTGCTACATACACCCCACTTTGACCTTAAGGGGGCCAGACCAGTGAATTTACGAGTTCCACAGTAAATGTTTAATGTTTGATATCAGCATAAAAATAATAATAAGGCTGTGCTTATTTCAAATTCTTTATATTCTGTTTAATGTCAATTAAGTTTCAATGATGACTAAACACTTTGGTGACAGTGGGAAGGAAAAAAACCCTTTTAACAGGAAGAAACCTCCAGCAGAATCAAGTGCAGCAAACCAGCACGAGATATACTTTT